ATAATAATGTAATTACTTTAAAAAGTTTATATTTCATAGAGAACTTGCAATTTAAATGGGCTCATAAAATTGTATGGGCTCTAAAATGGCAGGCCCAGTTAAATTAAAATTGATTTATTGAGTTGTTGGAGAATTAGCTTTTGGCGGCATTTCATTTACAGAACAATGGTTCTCAAAAATTCTCACTCAGAACAGAGATAATGGAAGAATCGAAGGTGATCGAAAACGAAATCGGAGGTCTGATAAACAATTTGCTTCGTTTAGAATTTCAAAGGCGTAGTGACATCGTCGGACTTCATCCCGTCGAATCCGCCTCTCATTCGGTACCCTAAAAATCTCTATAATGTCTGTTTAAACTGATTGATGATTAAAGTCTATTTATGATGAGCAACTGAGTGTGTTTTCCTTTAGGAAATCGTGAGAGAAGAGAATATTCAACGAAGGATCGTTGAGAACACCTATCGCTTCGTTTTTTCATAATAGCAGGAAATTCTTTCCAAGGTGCGTATTGATGTTTTAGTTATGTTTTATTACGTAGTGTTTGATCTGAAATTTCTGCTTTTGATAATCGATGCTTCTGCTACTTGGAGAAACAAATTAGGGCTTTGCTTTTTAGTGGATTTAATTATCGATTTGTTGATAGTTTAGTTTTTCCGTTTGAATGCCTGAAATTATCCCTCTCAGTGTCTTCTTCATCAAAATATCTGTTGTATTTGTGCAAAAATTTTCCGAAAGTCATATTGAAGCTGCTTAAATCCAGATTCCATGAACATTACAGGATTACATGTTGTTGAACTTTTAACCAGTGAATTTGAAGCCTTTTTCTTCTAGCACACATTGGGTTATGAGTTCTTCTAATTTACTAATCACAAAACTTTGGTTTTCAATTTGGAATCTGACCAAATTGAAGATGAACATGCATAGATGAATCAAGTAATAACTGATAGGTAACATGAAAACAATCAAAACACGTGTTACCTATTGACCTATTCATCAACAGAGTAGCTTTCATTGTTACATGTTTCTAAAGAATTCAATCTATCAACATCAATCTGTTGTTCCAAAAATTCTGAAAATCATCATCATGACCAAAATCCATGTACTTTAGGATGATACCATTGCGTGTTCTTCTAGCCTGAATACCAAAACCAAACAAAAACATCACTTCACTTCACCTTACTCAAAAATCTAAAAAATTAAATCAAAATTCAACTCCTACTTACTCGATAGATCCAAGAACAACATCTCCTTTCCCATTTGCAGGTGAAACAACACAAAAAAATCACAAAACCACCCAATACAACCATCAAAACACCCAAAACATTCACCAAAAATCGCCTCAACACAATAATGTGAAATAATCTTGTGCATTTGAAGAAACGTCATTTTTTCTAAAACACCCGTGATACAAGAAGCTAAAGCAAGGGTATATATGTAAACTTCAAAAAACACATGCCATGTCATCAATGAACCTTTGATTTTCGTTGAGCTACATGGGTACCAAAATGTGGCAAATCCAACACCCCACTACAATCAAATAGTTTTCTAAGATTATATAGTTTCATATTGGATTAAGCTCATAAAAGACCTTATATTTTAAGTTTTTTCCAGATTAAACTTCAACTTTACTTGTTTCCTGAAAAAAAAAAACCTTGTATTTTTTCCTTTTTTCCGAAAAACCCCTCAATTTTGTCTTTTTTTCCGAAAAAACTCCTCGACCTTCCAATTGTTTCCGAAAAAACCCTCAACATTTTAAATTTTTTTCTGAAAAAACCCTCACATTTTACAAGTAATCTCATAAAAGACCTTATATTTTATGTTTTTTTCCTGATTAAACTTCAACTTTATTTATTTCCTGAAAAAAAACCTTGTATTTTTCATTTTTTTTTCTAAAAATACCTCAACTTTGTCTTTTTTACCAAAAAAACCCTCAACTTTTTTAGTTTTTTTTCGAAAAAACTCACATTTTACAAGTAATCTCATAAAAGACCTTATGTTTTATGTTTTTTTCCTGATTAAACTTCAACATTGCTTATTTCCTGAAAAAAAAACCTTGTATTTTTCCATTTTTTCCGAAAAAACCCTCAATTTTGTCTTTTTTTCCAAAAAAACCCCTCAACCTTCCAACTTTTTTCCGAAAAAACCCTCACAATTTACAAGTCTTTTCGAAAAAAATGACTAAAAGGTTCAGATCAATAAAAATAAAAAGGTGCAAAGTCTTTTTCAGGAAAAATAAAATAAAATGTGAGTTTTAATCCGGAAAAAACACAAACTATAAGGTCTTTTATGAGATTAAACCTTTAATATTTGAACTTATTATACACAAAATAGTGGAAAATAAGAACCTGAATTGCAAATAGGAGTAAGGAAGCTAAGCCTAACCATGAGTGTAAACTGTAGAAATTGTCGATTCCTTTATCGTTGTGAAACTTCCAAACAGCCCATAAACCAATTAGACTGAGTATGAATGCTAGGAATTGAAGTAAGAGATGAACTAGTTTTTTAAAAGCTTTTGTTCCTGATATTGTTTTGTATGCTAGCATAGCTGCATTCATGAATCATATGATTCATCCAGAAGTACGAATTAGGATTACCAAATGCTACGGTTGTGCTTGGTATGATGGAATCAGAGATGGAATGGAATGACTCATTCCAATGGAATGAACCATTCCATTCCATCTCTGAGTTGTATTATAACTTTTCATTCCATTTCAATATGGAATGAAAAAAAGATGTTCCATATTGAAATGGAATGAAAAGTTATAATATACCTATTTTTATTTATAAAACTTCTCATGACACATCTTGTTTTAAGAATTTTATGATTTTAATTAATTTATAATTTTATTTTCTAAACATTACTAGAAAGTTTTTACTATTGTTATTATTATTATAATCTTATTTGGGTTTTAATAAGCTTTTAGTATGTTTAATCTTTAGTTTTTGTAAATAATAAGTTCTATAATAATTATAATAGTGTTCTAACTTCTAACTACATATTTTATTTACATATAATATAAAAAATTATCATAATTACTTTTTCTTATTACAATAATCATGTTTGTAATTTGTACAAAATTTAAAAAACCGATGAAAATTATCAAATTTTACACCTACAAATTCATATTAGGAGATAGTTAAAAGTACACTTTACCTTCCCCATTCAACAAAAGAAGACCAGTCACCATCATAACAGGATGAACCTACAAAAAAACACAGCTTTATTTATGTAAATAATTAACTTTAAATAAAATATTAATAATAAACTATAATATAATTAGCATACACACACTTCTCAAATCATAAAAACTAAAACACAAGACAGAATTCAGTTAAGGAAAGAACATATAATAACTCAAGCCCTAATCGTTTTATTTATATAAAAAAGGAAAAGATTATATAAATAGAAAGGGAATTGAAGAATTACATTGAAGAGTAGCGCTTTGTTTTTGGAGAAAAGAGACAATCCTCCTCTGTAGTGAACATTCCATATAAGAACTAGGATCAGTACTAATACGCCTACACTTCTTACGCATAAGAATATTGGGAATTTAACCACCGGAACCACCATCTTCCGGCGAGATTAAGACGATTGGAGGTTGTTAGAGTTAGGGTTAGGGTTGGGGCTCCGGCGGAGATGCGGTTGTTTATCGGAGGTTAATTTGTGGATTGTGGTGTCGGGTGGATGGGTTACGAAATGTGAATTGAGGAAGATAGATCGAAGCTTCATGAGTTACAACTTTCTAATCTAAGATACAAATGAACTTAAGTTTATCAAATAATAATTCTTACATGATTAATAGATTACTAATTAGTTAATTAGTTAACTATATAAAAAAATTTAATTTAATTTCTTTTTATTGATGTTAAATTACAGGATGTGACGATAAAAGATGTTTTACGGTCTAAAGTTAATTTTCCTTTTGTGTATCACCCAAACATCGTCAATAAAATGTGTCATGGCAACCATATAATGCACCCCTTATTAGTAGTTAAATGCACCGCATTTAAGGGCAAGTTTAACAAACTCTTTTTAAACCCACTACCCTTCCGGTTTGCTTCTTTTTTAAATTGTATGGTGCTTTGTTTTTTCAAAAGTTTCCGCTTTTTTTTATGACTAGACAAAATTGCAAAAATTATATGGTTTTGGTCCAAAATTTTTGATGGTGCATCAATAGTCCAAAATTGGATATTTTTATTGGTTTTGGTCCCTATGTACTTACAAAGACGATATTGCCCCTTATTTTTGTTTTTTAAAAATTTTATATTATTTTATTGATTTTAAGTAATTAAAAATCAGAGATGACTCTCTCTCTCTCTCTCTCTCACACACACACACACATACACACGTACCCCCTTGTGATCTCCTACCTTTTACTTAATTCCTAAATCCTAAACCCCCTGCAACCTCTCTCATTCGATTACCGAAAGGAAGCACCACACACTCACATAAATAGACAAAGTGGTTTACAATCAGCCTCGTCTTATCATGGTACACATCTAACAGTGGAGTACTCCTCAACAAATACTTACTCAACAACTATAGATTCAAGTACTCGATCTGAAGCTACTGTTGAAAGAAGCCCCTGAAAATCGTCAGTGTAGAAGACAATGAACAATACTCGATTCCCTCTGGTTTCAGTTTCCCCTTCCTTTATTTATCAACACCTACAAATCATAGGTTACCGGAGGACCTAAGTGAAACATAGATACTACAAGATATTACTGTGATGAGGGGCGGTGAGGTTGTTAAATCGACGTGAAGGTATCTCTCAAGATCTGAAAAATAGCGGAAGCACAACTAGATCATTTCCCTCTTTCTAGGCCGAGTTCTTAATTATTAATTACAATTGGCTTATTCTCGTACCTTCTCCACCTCCTGTGTATATGTGTGATATGTATTGTATGTAGTGGTAGCTGACAATTCGATGGCGGAATTGAACTCACCGGAGAAAGAGCAATGTTAGATCTAAAAATCCTATTTATGTGATGGAGTTCATTTATCGATCCCGAACAACCAGAGAGTGGTGGTATGGAATGGTGGTAGTGGTGTTGATCAATGGTGGTAACTCCGATCGGAATGTGAAATCCGGCTCAGGCAATGTGTCTCCAGCAACTGTTGTGGCGAAGATAGAGGAAGAGATGGTAGAGCCATTTATAGATGCAAATCGGCTAATGAAGGATGTATCAAGCAACTCTGTTTCTTGAAGGATCAACCTAATTTCTTGTTGGGATTCTAGATGGGAAATTGTTATAGGAATTCAAATCTTGTAAATCAACACACAATTGATTGTATTTGTGGACATTATTCTTGAAGATTGGATTTTTCATGGTATTTGGGACATTTTCATCGAAATTCTAGGTGGAGACGGAGGTGGTTGAAGGTGGTGATGGCTGACAGTGGTAGCGGTGAGGGTGGTCGTGAGGTGGGATTTCTTTTTGGTGGAGACGACATGTTTTTGTTTTCTTGAGAGGGAGAGATTAGTAGGAGTGATGACTTAGGTGGGGAACGGTGTGATTTCTTTTTAGTTTTTTAATAAGAATAATAAAATAAATAAAAGGAAATTAAAACAACTATTTTAGGGGCATATTAGTCATTTTAGGTGGGGTATGGACCAAAAGCACAACAAAATGTCAACCATATGGATCAAAACTATACAAGGTATCCAAAATTGGACCCACTAATGCATCACCAAACTTTTTTGGACCAAAACCACATAATTTTGACAACCACGGGGACCATTTTTGCAATTTTGTCTTACAACTAATAACATGCTTATCTAAACTAGATGTACGGTTTACATTCGGGTCGACTTTAAGAATGGTGGAACACTATTTGCACTTGCCATTAATAACATAAATATTGAGAATCAAATTATATTAGTTTTGATTTAATTTTGTAACTTAGTCATTTAGTCCTATTCTTTAGGCTATTATTCTCACGTGAAGAAAGGGGTAAAAAAAATTGATATGTGACCTTAAAGCTCTGATACCATAATAAGGTATGAAGTAGTATGATTGAAGTAATTTCTCTGTATTCATTCAGTGTGATATACATGTGTTTATATACAGAAGTAGAGAGCCCTAACTCCACATAAATAGGAGATTCAAAACACGTGAGAATAATAGCCTAAAGAATAGAACTAAATGACTAAGTTACAAGACTAAATCAAAACTAATATAATTCTATATGATTCTGAATATTTCTGTTATTAGCCATTTTGAACATTGTCAACAACAATTTCATCAAAATATTCCCAACAAGGTGTCTTGTGTTTCGCTTTTCTTTTCCTCTTTGTTTGTTGGTTGGTTGTTGCTTTCACTTTTAAGTGTTTTAGCAAACACTTCATCATCACCAACCTAAACCACATTAAATAAAACCTTGCATTTAACTAAAAGTAACAACTCCACATCCCAATCTTTTCTGGTTCCAAACCCGAACTCGGTTCATAGAATTCCAATTTTTTTTTCATTTCCAATCCAATACCCGTTTTAACTGGTTCATACACAGAAATGCTTACATTATACTGATTATTAGGGGTGTCAATTTATGACACGACACGACAAAAATACACGACACGAAAAGAAATCGGGACGAAATCAAAATTCGAATTCGTGTTCGTGTCATGTTCGTATCAAGTTTAAAAAACACGATGTCGTGTCGTGTCGTTTAAATGAGAATTCCATTGAAGCTTGCACATTTTGTTGTTCAACATTATAATACATTTAAATGATGTTTTTTTAAAAACTACGTATGATATATATAATATATATATATATATATATATATATATATATATATATATATATAATACCTTAAAATAACATTCTTAAAGTTTTTTTTTTCATCAAAACTTTTTCAACAATTAAAAACGCGCGCGCGCGTGTGTGTGTGTGTGTGTGTATATATATATATATATATATATATATAATATATATAATTATACGTAGTTATTATCATCTCGGAATAGCTAGAATATTTACTATGAACCATAAAAATGTAATATAAGAATATCTAGAATTTTTTATAACATCTTACTTTAATTTTTCTACTTACAGAAACTATGTATTTCTACTTTTACCCATTATATCAACATACTTTCATTTATTTAACATAATACAAAAACAAATTATATTTTATATTTTAGTTAAAGTTACCTCAATAGTGTCATAAATATTGTCTTTCACATTGGATGACCCCTCGCTATCTCTCGTTATTTGTGTCATAACAACTTTTCCACATCCAAACCTACCATCTTCAATTTCAAAAGACTGTCTGTTACTTAAATCCTCTGTTGACCACATTGTTATTGTTGGAATTTTTGACTTTATGATTAAACGTTGACATTCAAGACCGTCACAGTAAAGTACCTGCATGATATTAGTTTGTAAATTATATTAGATATTAATAAATAAAAAATAATTAAAACAATTAAACAAAAAGCATACCATCAATAACAACATTGGCCCATTATAATATCATTTCTTTTTTATCTTGATGTCACAAAGATCTTGTACTCTTCAAACAATAATTTAAGTACACACACCAATTAATGCATGAGATGTCTTTAACTCCAACCACTATTCTAATATGATCTATGTTGCACGTCCCATAAGAATGTGATTCAACAAACGTATTCACAAACAAAGAAATAAAATTTAGCTTGAAGATATCATCATCTCGTTTGGATTTTAGAATGACTTCTTTGAACCCAGTGGCATTCATGGTTTCTTTTGTAAACTGGCTTTGCCATATAACATACGTTTCATTCTCATTGTCAATAAAATGAAAGTCAAACAAGCTTCGTCCTCCATTTGGTAGACCAACACTTTATGAATCTTTTTTTTTATCAAGCACAATTCTGTTCTTTTGATGTTCTTTTGATGATTATAATGTTGAACAACAAAATGTACAAGCTTCAATGGTAGTCTCTTGATGCTCAACTCCAAAAGGGATCCAAAACCCATCTTCTTTACCCATTTCTTTTGAGACAAACTTAAACTTCTTATAACTTCAAGCATAGCTTCGGGATTCATTCGAGAATTGATTGAAGGCAGATCTTTTAATATATCTTTCGTTGTTTTTTGTTTCTTTTTCTCGATGTTCTCATTTGTACTCTTCATCTTCCTTTTTTTATTTGTTTCATCTTCAAAAAGCACCTTTTGTTTCTCTATTATTCAATGAATTTTCAGAATAAATAATATTAGCAAAAAGATAGATAATAACATCATAAAAATAGAATACAAGATTAACATTTCAGAATATTCTATTAGAATAACATCTATATGAATATGTCTACTATGTTTCAGAAGCCAATGAATGTTGAGACATCCATATAAATTAGAAGCAAACACCAAACTGCCATAAATGACAACCAACTTTGACAACTTCAGAAAAGGCAACAACATTCTATAATTAATGGCAGAAGTCAAAGTCAAACACCAAGCTATAATTATTTTATTGACAACAAACTTTGTGAAACCAACTAAAAGGATTAGAAAATATCAAATTCTAACAAAGTATGAACTTTTAATTTTAGTCAACATAAGATTTCCAATTAAAAAAACTATGTAAAATGTTTCAGTTAACTTTAATTGTAAATGCAGAATCAATAATAACAAATATGAGTTTTACCTATATCTGGCATTCTTGCTATTAGAATAACATTAATACACAAGATATTATAGTACAAAAACAATAATTGATTATATACCTTTTTTTTTCTTTGGCTTTTGCTGTTATATCGATTGATTCATCAATAAGATTCAATGATTTTCTTCTTTCAATTAGTCGTTCGCCTATTGAAGTTTTTTCATGAGTTTTACCCATATCTAGCCTTCTTACTGTTGATTGTCATCATTTTTATTTTTGCTTTTGTCATTCTTGTTATAATATTAGTTGTATGAAAATAATTAATGTTAATATAAACAACTGCATAATATTAGAATTATAAACTATAAAGCTATATTATAAACTCTAAAGAAATATAAACTTCTAGATTGTGAAAGGCTGCATACGATATTAAAGAAACATATATAAAAATTAGAGAAATGAAAAGGGAAGACAAAAATCATATTTTAAAACAGGGTAATGATCAATGATTAGCCAAATAAAAAGAAAATTTTGCACCAGTCACCTTCATATTCATAATAACACCATATCTTAAAACAGGGTGATTATCAATACTTCCCCCAAAGGAAGTCTTGGTTGAAAAGGCATGTGTTACAATCCTTCATTTTCAATATTTTAGTTAATTTCAGTTTGCCTCTTGATTTTCTTACTTGAAGCTAAAATCTTTGAAAGTCTTTTTTATGTAAACAAAGGATTTTAATAGATGAAATCCATCAAACTCTCCATTTTCATCTTCTTGAAGGAGAAGATAACAATGATTATGAACAGTTAGAATGTACATTCCTCCACATATTCCTTTATTTTGTTTTCTATACAAAGAACATGTGGTAAGTATGATGGAATACATAGATTTTTGTATCATATTGTAAACATCCTGATGAATTTAGTTTCCCCTCTATTTATGAAATAAACTTTTGTATAAGATTGTAAACAATCCAAAAGTATTTTCTTCGGTCTTTAGTTGATCATCATTTTTCTTTCATATGTTATTTGTTCTGTTTAGAAAAATAAAAAATGAATCTTTGGATTTGGGAATCCTTTCCCGATAGATCAATCTAGATTACTAGACTAAAAGAAGGATTCATCATATTCTAACTCATCAGAATACTTTGATTAGAATTTCAAAATTATTTTCTAACTAATCTAAGAAATTTATCCAAGTAGAATATATGATGATAGTTAACATAGTTGTTGAAATACCTGCAATTTCTTGAGAAGGTTTGGTAATAATGTTGTTTTGAGGATCTGATGGTGATGGTTTTCTGTTGGCGATAGAGACACAAGGTTTTTTATTTTTTTTTTATTTTTTTATTTTTTTGTCTATGTGAGAAATGGAGAAGATCAGAGGAGAGAACAGAAGAAAAGGGTTTTGATGAACTGCGATGGAAGAATTGGGGAGGTGTGTAGTTGTTATCACCGGTGATCTTGCGTCGTTTTTTGGGGTTTTGAAGAACCAATTTTTAAGTTGAATAGTAATATGATCGGATATATCATATCGAATATGATCGGGTATCCGATCCGTGGATGATGTCTATAATTATCCTTATTTTTCTACTCTAGAACTATAAACATGTTAAATATATTCTAAGTGTTAGTCTCATTGTTTCTGTTTAATGTGTTATGTATTAATATTCTAATAGTATTCTAAGTGGTTTTATTTAGAATAAAATAATTTATTTTATTTTAGAATTAAAATAAGTAAAAAATATATGTAAATTTCTAACGCGTACAGAAGTTGATTTAATTTAATTATTTTTAATGTTCTATTTTTTCATCACTTGATATTAAACTTGTTATGATTTGCTTTTTAAATTAATTACTTTTTTAATTAAAAAAAGTCAAAAATATAATTTTCTCATTAAAAAAATAATTAATTTATAAAGAAAATCATAATAAGTTTAATAGCAAGTGATAAAAAATAGAATATTAAAAATAATTAAATTAAATCAAATCAACTTCTGTACACACGTTAGAAATATACATGTATTTTTGACTTATTTTAATTCTAAAATAAAAGACAAAATTGTAAGAATGGTCCATATGGTTAGGTCGAAATTGCCACTTTGGGCCAAAAATGTTTGGACTAGCATTCATGGTCTAAAGGTTTTCATTTTCTTGCCACTTTGGTCCAATTTACTTTAAACTTTTCTGTTATGACGATTTTGCCATTTGTTTTTCCTTTTCCAGTTTTATTTATTTAGTTAAGTTCTTTAATATTTAAAAGAAAAAAATAAAAAAAATACATCTCTCTTTCTCTCTCTCTCTCTCTCTCTCTCTCTCAATTTTGGGAATTGAAACTCTTTTCGTCATTATCAAATCCACACAACCAAGTTCATGATCTTTTACACACATCTCCACATATAAAGAGATCTGCAACAAATTGACTTGGTTTTGAAAATGATACAAAATCGATTCATTGCAGAAACCCAGAAAGAAAAAAACTGAACCTAGAAAACAAAATATTAAACTGTTCTTAAACTGGGTTTACATACCCTTTTCATCTTCTTTGAATGTGATCCCGATTTTCTTTCGGAGTAACACTAAACCACCACCATCACTGTCGGCATACATGTTGAACCAGATCTCGACTTGTTTCTTTGCATATTATTCACTATTTAGTGTGAGTGTATGTCTTTTAATTTTTCAGTGTGTGTATTTAACCCAGATCTTAAAGCTTCGATTATGGAGCAGATTCTATAGGTACCACCTCTGATACCGGTAATGGTTATGAATCAGCAGTAGGGGCAAGATCAGTTTTTTACTTAGCTTCTTCCAATGACTTTGGCTCAACTTTCACATTCTCAGATGGAAGATGGAAGAGGAGATGGTGGCGCCAGCGGCGAAGCAATATCATCAACAAATTAAACTTTCAATCCGATCTCGCCCTGAATCCGGTTAAAGAAGTTTTTCTTCTTTAACGGATTATAAATCAAAGTCTCCTCCCCTTTCTTCACAAATTGCTTCGAATTAAAGCAACATCAGTTTCCGACATAACTTCTTCTAATCGCTGTCACTGTCGATTTGAAATCCTTCGCCGTCAATGCTATGAAGATCCATTTTGAAACCCTCGATGCTATGAAGATCCACCGCCGTTCTTTGACAGATCCGGGAGATAAGAGAAAGATATAGAGAAAGAGAGCGACTGGGTTTTCTGATGATGTTGCCATGTTTGATGGTTGTGGATTGTGGTGGTTAGAGGTGGTGGTGATGGCAGAGACTGGTGGCCGACGTTGGTGGAGGTGGTGGTAGAAAGTATTCTTTGTTGTTTATGAATTTGCTTGTTTTAAATTTTGGAGTCTAAAAAATGTTTAAAGAATTTAAATAAATAAATAAAACTGAAAAAAGGAAAAACCAAGGGCAAAATCGTCATAACAGAAAAGTTTAAAGTAAATTGGACCAAAATGGCAAAAAACTGAAAACCTTTGGACCATGAGTACTAGTCCAAACCTTTTTGGCATAAAGTGACAATTTCGTCCTAACCACAGGGACCATTCTTACAATTTTGTCAAAATAAAATTACTTAATTACAAATATTCTAAAACAAAATTACATATTATTTTAATTTTAAAATAAAATCACTTTTAACATAATACTAAATCTAATAGAATACTAAATCTAGTTTCATTTATTCTTTTTACTAAAATATTCTAAAACAAAATTACATATTATATTCTAGTTAGATAATAATACGTTTTATTTTCATATATTTAAATGAAACCAAAATAATTAACTTAAAACAAATTAGAATAAGCATAATACCATATTAACAATATGTGTTTTTATTTGTCAACATTATTTTATAAGAATAATAAACATATATAGATTTTAATCATTTATCATTTTATCAAACAATTATTTAATCAAAAAATTAGGCATCATGAAACATAAATTGTAAATCCTATATATCATTTACCATTAAGCAGTAAATATTTTATCAATATACCAACTGGTTACAAAATACCAAAATATCAATGGTTTAAGCATATCATCAAACATAAGTATTTTTAAAAAAACTCAACAGAAAATAAATTGTCTGCATGTAATAAGCCAATATAAGAAGTTTTCAAACTTCCTTCATTTCCAGCTTGTCTCTTTCTTCAATTCCTTCTTTCACCAACATACACCTAGTTTTCTTATCAAGTTTGGAAAATTTCAATGCTTCTGCAACATTTAATTTTTTCTGCTTGTTAATTTGATGGTTTGCAAGCTTAGCAACATAAAATGTACGCAACTTTTCAAACTTCTTAGATTTCCTAACACTTTCTTCTCCCAGTTCCACATCCCACTTTTCTTCTTTCTCACCCATGTACTTTTCCATGTGAAGATTGAAAAGTTGCGTACATTTTATGTTGCTAAGCTTGCAAACCATCAAATTAACAAGCATAAAAATTGAATGTTGCAGAAGTATTGAAATTTTCAAAACTTGATAAGAAAACTATGTGTATGTTGGTGAAAAAAGGAAGTGAAGCAAGAGACAAAAAGGAATTTCTTATATTGGTTTATTACATGCAGACAATTTATTTTCTGTTGAGTTTTTTTTTAAAACTACTTATGTTTGATGATATGCTTAAACCATTGATATTTTGGTATTTTGTAACCGATTGGTATCTTGATAAAATATTTACTGATTAATGGTAAGTGATATATAGGATTTACAATTTATGTTTGATGATGCCTAATTATTTGATTAAATAATTGTTTGGTAAAATGATAAATGATTAAAATCTATATATGTTTATTATTCTTATGCAATAATGTTGACAAATAAAAACACATATTGTTAATATGGTATTAAACTTATTCTTATTTGTTTTAAGTTAATTATTTGGATTATTCTCGTTTCATTTAAATACTTGATAATAAAACGTATTATTATCTAACTAGAATATAATATGCAATTTTGTTTTAGAATATTATAGTAAAAAGAATAAATGAAATTAGATTTAGTATTCTGTTACAATAATAAAGAATACATGACATTAGATTTAGTATTTTGTTATAAGTAATTTAATTTTAGAATTAAATTAATACGTAATTTTGTTTTAGAATATTTGTAATTAAGTAATTTTATTGTCAAAAATATATGTAAGTTTCTAACGTGTACAAAAGTTGATTTGATTTAATTTAATTATTTTTATTATTCTATTTTTTTCATCACTTGATATTAAACTTATTATGATTCGCTTTTTAAATTAATTATTCTTTTAAAATTAAAAAAAAGTCAAAAATATAATTTTCTCATTATAAACTATAGAGAACAAAAAATGCAATTAAGTAATTCTATTTTAGAACTTAAAAAGTAATTGGCAAAAACATATTCTAGAAAATTAATAATAAAATTATTGTGTACATGTATATAATTCTGTACGGACAAAACTAAAATTAAGCCATTTGCTTTTAGAAATAAAAACTATACAGACTAAAATTAAGTCACTTTTCTTAGACAACCCTACTAAAATGATTAGAAAATATTAGATTCTAACAAAGTATGAACTTTTAAGATTAGTCGACACAAGATTTCCAATTAAAAAAAAACTATGTAAAATGTTTCAGTTAACTCTAATTGTTCATGCAAAGTCAATAATAACAAATAACATTACTTTAGAAAATTAATAATAAAATTATTGTGTACATGTATATAATTCTGTACGGACAAAACTAAAATTAAGCCATTTGCTTTTAGAAATAAAAACTATACAGACTAAAATTAAGTCACTTTTCTTAGACAACCCTACTAAAATGATTAGAAAATATTAGATTCTAACAAAGTATGAACTTTTAAGATTAGTCGACACAAGATTTCCAATTAAAAAAAAACTATGTAAAATGTTTCAGTTAACTCTAATTGTTCATGCAAAGTCAATAATAACAAATAACATTACTTTAGAATATTCTATTAGAATAACATTAATACATAACAAATTATTCTAATAGAAACAAATGAGACTAACACTTTAAAATATTTTATTAGACTAACATTGTTTATAGTTAGATGACTAAAGTAGAAAAATAAGGATAATTAGTGGACATCATCCAAGAGAAACGAGTCGGATGCGACCCGATCATCTCATCCTCGATATCATATATCCGATCATATTACTCTTCAACTTAAAAACCAGTTCTTCAAAACCCCAAAAAACGACGCAATATCTTCGATGATAACAACTACACGCCTCCCCAATTCTTCCATCGCAATTCATCAAAACCCTTTTCTTCCGTTCTCTCCTCTGATCTTCTCCATTTCTCATATAGAAAAAAAAACTCTTGGATATCGACATCAAAAGAACCCTTGTGTCTCTATCACCAAGAAAAAACCCTCTTTAAAGCTTGTGGTTTCAGTCAAAATGACTACACCATCAGATCCTCAAAACGACATTATTACCAAACCTTTTCAAGGAATTCCAGGTATTTCGACAACTATGTTAACTATCATCATATATTCTACTTGGATAAAGTTCTTAGATTAGTTAGAATATAATTTTGAAATTTTAATCAGAGTATTCTGATGAGTTAGAATATGATGAATCCTTTTTTTAGTCTGGTAATCTGGATTTGATCTATTGGGAAAGGATTCCTAAATCCAAAGATGCATTTTTCATTTTTCTAAACAGAACAAATAACATATGAAGGAAAAATGATGATCAACTGAAGACTGAAGAAAATACTTTTGGATTGTTTACAATCTTATACAAAAGTCTATTTTATAAATAGAGGGGAAACTAAAATCATCAGGATGTTTACAATATGATACAAAAATATATGTATTCCATCATACTTACCACATGTTCTTTGTATAGAAAACAAAATAAAAGAAAATATAGAGGAATGTACATTCTAACTCTTCATAATCATTGTTATCTTTTCCTTCAAGTAGAGGAAAATGGAGAGTTTGATGGATTTCGTCTATTAAATTCCTTTTGTTTACATAAAAAGACTTCCGAAGATTTTAGCTTTAAGTAAGAAGATCAAGAGGCAAACTGAAATTAACCAAAATATTGAAAAGAAAGAATTGTAACACTTGCCTTTTCAACCAAGACTTCCTTTGGGGGAAGTCTCGATCATTACCCTGTTTTAAGGTATGATTTTATTATGAATATTAAGGTGATTGGTGCAAAATTTCCTTTTTATTTGGCTTATCATTGATCATTACCTTGTTTTAAGATATGATTTTTTTCTTCCCTTTTCATTTCTCTAATTTTTATATATGTTTCTTTAATATCATATGCAACCTTTCACATTCTAGAACTTTATATTTCTTTAGAGTTTATAATATAACTTTATAGTTTATAATTCTAATATTATGCAGTTGTTTGTATTAACATTAATTATTTTCATGTCGTTAAATATTATAACAAGAATGACAAAAGCAAAAATAAAAATGATGACAGTGGGTAGAAGTAATGAAGTTGAAACTTCAATAGGCAAACAGTTGGTTCAAAAAAGAAAATCATCGAAGTATATCGATGAAATGAATCAGCAACTACAACATCAAAAGAAAAAGAAAAAAAGGTACAACATCAATTATTTTTTCTATAAGAATAAATGATATATTGTGTATTCTATGTATTCTA